CATTTGGAGGGCTCTGGCATTGGAACTCTAGGATTTCAAGTCGTCCGCAAAAAGTAGACATGGACTCACAAGAATGTCTGGGAGGTCGCTGACGTAGATCAGAAACAGGAGTGGTCCCAAGACGGAGCCTTGAGGAACTCCAATGGAGACCGGCGCTGGAGAGGAATAAGTTGAGCCTATTCTCACTCTGAATGACCTGTCTGATAGGAACGCCTTGATCCAGCGATGGATTTTCCCTTGAATCCCGTAAGACTCGTGTTTGTGGAGCAGCGGGACGTGTGGGTCCCTATCAAATGCTTTTGAGAAGTCGAAAAATATGGCATCCGATATGAGTCCTTCGTCCTTGGCTTGGGTTGAGCTGTCCATAAACACGAGCATGTTTGTTACGCAAGAACGGTTTGGGAGAACTCCGTGTTGAGCTGGAGATATCAGATTGCTGGAAGTAAGGTGATCTAGGATGGCTCGCTTCAGAATGCGTTCCATCACCTTGCACGGCACGCTAGTGAGGCTTATAGGCCTATAGCTGCCAGGCGATAATCGGTCACCAGTCTTGTAGATTGGCGTGACAATCGCTTCCTTCCAAGCAGGGGGAAGGCGGCCTTCGTCAAGCGACTGACGAAACACCAGGTGTAAGTGGTTTGGCAGTTTGGAGAACGTTCCCTTCAGGATCCTCGGATGGACCTCGTCGGGTCCCAATGCGCAGAATGGGTTGATCTTGTCCAAGAGTTGCCGTTGTAACTTGATACCGTCTTGTCGAGCTCATAAGTTTGGCCTCAGCAAGCGTTATGTTCTAGAAGCCTCTAAGCATCAGCAACTCGGGTGAGCTCAGTGGCAGTCAGTCTCATCAATAGTATGTTCATCGGGCTCGGTGGTCGGACTGGAGATGTTCCACTGTGTGAGATAATAGCCTCAGTATGCGCACCGATGAAGTGTGCCTTTCATAATTCGGTTTGAGCAGATTAGTTGGATGAGTTACACCGCATCTCAAGATCTGCGGGCGTAAGCCTAAGGTAAGAAAGTTTGATCATCTTATTGCCAAGTGCTCTATGTGTACCTTTCTGATAGCCGAGTGAGGGGGTGTAGTGGAAGAAAACACTCAGGCATGCCTTCTTCACTCACTCAGCCGCCATGCATCATGAACGCTCAAACACGCTTCAATGAAAGGCACATGCGTGTACCGTTACCTGTCCAGCAAATGGTGTTGCGCTAAGCCTAGAGCCTTTTGAGAACCAATGAAGTGAACGTTTCACGATTTGAGATGGGTCGGGCCTGTCGTGGCTTCTGGAAGCCGAGTGCCGAAGCTTAGAAAGTGTCCCAATGCAAGACCCTTAGAAGCTGACGCCATTACCAGCAAAGCGATGACGAATTTGTACATTTTGACCGAGATATTTCGTTGATAGAAGCCCGCAGCGCCGTCCTTTGAATGTTATGCTCTTTGAGGTCTTGCAGCTGTACCGCGTTGGGATATCACTCAAACGATTCCGGGCGTTAACGTAGCGTTCCTTCCTGGGTGAGTCCATTGTGCTTTTTCCCATCAGGCTGTCTACGTACACCCACTTTGCTGTAATACGGGAGCGGTTTGCCATAAATCGGGGCTTTTGATGTGGTAATAGGTTGTTGGCCTTTGGACACAACATGAAATTCTCCAAAAAGCAGCCACTGGCATGATGTAGTGGCCTCGTACACCCTTCAGCACTGGCTCCTATAGACTCATCCACTTCGCAGATTCATCAGTACGCCTTTGATTGTGCCACGTGGAGTTTCGGATTCTTCAGCGCCGCACATCGCTTCAACTGTATCATCCGGCTCAAGGCTTGGTTTCCTCTAACCTCCTCTGTCACCTCATAAGTGAGCGTTACTGAAACGCTTTAGTGGTTGGCTATGATAACATGTGACAATATGATAATATGATAATGTGTGACAGGCCCATTTCCTCCAGGCTGCCCGTCGCACACTCAGGTAACAGTTACGGGATATGAGGTTTCGAGTAGTGGCTTTCAGCTACAACTCAGGCGACACCCTACTTTGTTAGTGCAATCTCTGCATAATAATCAGAAGGGACAACATGTACCCACGCACACACCGCACCATCCTGAGTGTCGCACATTGAACTCTGATGCTATTGCTTTGCTGCAGTATTTATTAGCTGTAACCACCTCTCTTCGTTTGATAATCTAGGCTGCAAGGTACTCGCTGTTTCAAACGGTATGCAGGTGAAAATAATAGGTATGTGGTCGGGTTTAGGCGACCTAGAAATGTCCCTCAATCAAGCAAAGTGCCACGAATAACATCACCGAAAATGCAAACGGATTACACTAATGCCCGGTAAAAGCGGCGACTTCGGAGACCCCACATCCTGCCTGAACTAACTTTCGCTTCCTTCTGGTGAACGGTCCATCTGCCTTGACTGAGAAATACGGTTGAATATCTGTGTTTTCTGCATCGTGCACAACTGACAAAAGGAATGCGTACATGTGCATGAATCACATAGCATTTATTCTGTGCCATGAATTGTGTGAAGTGAGGGGCGAGAACGACGGACCTGGTGAAGTAGCAGAATTGTGCTGCCCACTAAAAGCAAACCCAAATTATTTTCGCGAAAACTATAGGGCTTGGAAGTTATGACTTTTACGGAGGTTCAGTATAATCCATTTGTACCGGTCAGTTTAATGATGCTCACCGTAATTTGCATTCATACTTTCGTAGCCAACCAAATTTCTTTTTGCCATCGTTACTCTGGCGGGGAAAGTGTGGTGGAATACGCTCCCAGCCTCGCTGTTGCATCCTAGAAAACGACCTTCTGATTAGGTATCAAACAACCACCTATTTCGGTGGGCAGATGCTCTTTCGCGATTCACTGGATTTCATAGTGCGATTGTCGAAGGCACAGTAATCGTAACTGTTGACGTTGAGTCAGATATCAAGCGCATTATCGCCGACGCGGTCCAAGCCCCCCCAAAAATCACAGCTACGATTAAAGAGGCCACTAAACGCGACTGTTTGCTGCAAGAAATTGTGGAATTTATTCGAGTCAACTGGCCCAAAAAGAGCCTCAACCCAAAGGTTTGTCAGTGCGCCAATCGTCAGAAAGCGCTATCAATAGTCGATGGTTGCTTAATGTTTGTTGAGGGGGTGATATCGCCAGAGGTTCGCCGACAAACAGTAGTCAAACAGTCCCACAATCATTACCCAGGAGTGAGCCGAATGAAATCATTGGCCAGAAGCCTCGTTTATTGGCCTCGCATGGACAAACATCTGGAGGACTATTGCCGAACTTGTCCCCAACGTATTCAAGCTGCCAAGAATCCTCCGCGATGTAAACCACACGATTGGCTTACGCTTGAGGCGCCATGGCAACGGCTACACAACAACTTTACGGATCCAATCGACGGTCTGTATTATCTGATGATCGTAGACGCACTCACGAAGCGGCCAGAAGTTTGTGCATGCGCAAGGCATCTACCGAAGTTACCACTGCGAGACTGCAGAAAATATTCAGTTATTTTGGGTTACCTGGTACAATTGTGACGGACTATTTTACGCAGTTTACTTCAGCTCTTTTTGATGGTTTCTGTGTTTGGAACAAACTGACGCATATTCGGTCACCGCCGTACCACCTCAATCAAATGGCCAAGCTGAGAGATTTGTGGCTACTTTTCAACTAGGGCTGTTGGAATCTCGAGGGGACCAACGGACGGTTTCATTAATGCTTTCCTAACCAACTACCGGACGACACCAAACCTATGTACGCCTGATGGGAAGTCTCCAGTCAAACTTAGGTTTGGGAGGAAAGTGAAGACATTGATGCATTGCGTTCCTGGAAAACCAGAGACCGGCGATGAAGACTAACTAGTACAATTCAACGGCAAATGTCGCTCTGGACGTATCTTTAGCCGTGGAGACTACGTCTTTGTCAAAACTACTCAGCATATCGCTGGAGTTCGGGAGTCGTAATGTTGAAAAGAGAGAACGTCGTCTATGGAGTAGAGGTTGGTGGGACGGTGTAGATTAGGTATGCTAATCAAATTCGGCGATATAATACAAGAAACAAAAACGCATCTACCGTTAGACATCCTCCTCGAAACGTTCAAAATGCGACCGAAAAATGAGTCAACAGATTGGAACATTGGCGTCAGCCCGGCTCTGTTGAAAAGAAGAACTGGACGACAAAGAATTCCAGTAATAAGTTTGCAGACAAATCCCAGATTGCGAACCTACGATCTATCTCCAAAAGGGGAAGTGTCAGGACGTGCCCAGGCATGGAAAAATTACAATTTCAGAGTGACGCATCCCCAAGGTC